GGGGCTGTGGTGTGGTCGCTTTGTGTGTTGTTTGGGGGGGGGGGGGGGGGGGGGGGGGCGGGACACCATAATGGGCGGGACTTCGCCTCTTGATTTGCATATCAATCACAGATGCACATGTTTACTTAACGCCTTACATGCCTGTACTGTAAATACACATGCATTCGCTGTATGTTTCCCTTTCCTCCTAAATCTTAAATCCATACATGGGTCAGTTTGCATTTCTTTATCCTGTCTAATCTGTTATCACTTCCTCCCTCTCCCTCCTCTCTTGTTGCATTTCCTCAGTCCTCTCTGATACAAATGCCACGCAGCTCTACTGGCAAAAGAATTGAGGCTTGTTCCACTGGTGTGTATGCAACAATGTTAAATAAAAGAATTCATATCCAGACGTTTTCGAACAAAGAAAATCATTATCCTGAAACACTTTCATGTCCTGTGGCTCTTATTATGTAACGAGCAAATGCTCATTTCCACTTAATTCACATTTGCTGAGACATCAGTTCAATCTTTCCTCTCTCTCTCTCTCTCTCTCTCTCTCTCTCTCTCTCTCTCTCTCTCTCATTCGTCCCTCTCTCTCTGCTGTCCCTGCTTTCATTCAGAAACAGATGTACTGAGCAGCCAGCAGCTCTCTCTCACTCTCCCACCTCTTGCGCAACATTTCCTCCCTTTCTGTCATCCCACTTTTTGCTCTCTAGGTGCATTTCTCCTCCTTGCCTTTACAACCCATCTCAGAATCTATTTGAATATATCATCAGGATTAAAGTCACGTTTTTTGTCTGCAAAAATGAACTCTGGCTACAGTCCAAAACCTCAAGAGGTTCCCTCTTGTATCTGCAGAGGAAGGATTCATGTCCCTAACTCCCTTTCCTGTGACATCTCCCTGGAATATCGCTCAGCGCAAACACAAATTAATGGAAAAATCAGCAGTAGATTGGTCCACCAGCAGCAGGAACATGCATCCACACTCAACAACAACAACGTACGGTGACCCAGCTGTTGATGTGGCTGGTTTGTACTCTCCCCAATTTCATGGTCAATTTGAGAGTTTATTTCTAAATTTAATTCGACCAAAGTGCAGCCGACCGTCGCCACCCTTTAAACCAGCTGTCATAACAGAGTGTCCCCTCACATCCAGGGCTGTTCACATGATGACTGAGCTGCACAGCCCAATTAGACCAGCTGCTGTGGACATACCAGAGAGCCGGGAGGATGCGTCCTGTCTGCTCTGTGCTCCGCCGTCTTCCCATAATCAACTTTGTTCACATAATCGGAGGAGCCTCATCTTTCATGTCAAAATCAGCCGAACAAGTAACGGCTCATGTCGGATGGGAATTTAATCAATCAATTTACTCTCCATGAGCTGCAGCGTCTATCTCTTATTTTAACATCCCAGATTTATCATTAAAAAAATTAGAAGTAAATTACGTGGTCTCATTAATGCTGTTGAAAGTCTGGCTGCAGGCGCCTGTCAGCAGACTGCTCCTGGATGTCTGGATGCTTTCCAATGTGAAGCAGAAATCTAGATTTTCCAGAAACGAATCCCAGCAGGGATGTCTAACTTTTCCTCCCTGGATGAAAACCAAGAGGAAGGTGTGCGTGGATGTGTGGAGCTGGAGGGGGAAATAATGTACCCTGGGCATAATATCACAAGCAAATCACTTGTTTAGCTGCATGCAGCACCTGCAGGTTTAACAGTAAAAAACGGCACATTGGTCCTTTAATAGGTTATGGCTTTTATAGAGGGAAACACCACATTGATGCAGTTCACATTCAAACCCTGTTCAGAATATCATAGAAATATCATAGACATCACAGGGGGGATAATAAACGCCTTGCAGAGCTCTGAAGTTAAGAAAAACTCGCTATAAAAAGGTCCAAGCAGGATTATTAAAGGAATATTATAGCAATGTCATAAAAGTCTCTATGGGATGTCCACGCAAATTAAGCACCACATTGGATGGAAATGTTTAAAAAAAAACATATCGCAAAGTGCATAAGGTCACCAGAAACTCCCCTACAGTCTGTCTACGGAGTTTCAAAAAAAATTAAAAAGTCAGCAATATACGAATATTTCGGCAAACGCGCTCTAGTTACTGCTGACTGGGCTACTTACCAAAGCGCACACGGTCACCAGCGATAAGGTAGTAGTCATCCTGCGTCGCCTGCTGGAGTCACACAGAAACGGGTGTTGAGCAGAGAAGGCAGCGCTATGTGGAGGAGGAGAGCCGCTCAGCAGGAGTGCTCATTTTATTTCCAGCGACAGCGGGTTTTTATCAATGAGTCCGCACCATCACGAGTCAGTCCGGGACCCTGTGGACTGGAGTCAGATGCGGCTGTCGGTGTACCCCTCAGCACCACCACACAAGAAGAAGAAGAACAACAACAAGAAGAGGAGGTGGAGGAGGAGGAGACCGTCCTGTCCGGAGTGCTGCTGCAAGTGCAATGCGGAGGAGGAGAGAGGAGAGAAGAGACGTATACCCTCCAGCTTATTACCCTGATACTCCCGCAGTAAGACTATACAACCTGCTTCTCTCTCTCCCTCTCTCCCTCCCTCTCTCTCCCTCCCTCTCCCTCTCTCCCTCCCTCTCTCTCCCTCTCTCTCCCTCTCTCCCTCCCTCTCCCCCTCTCTAATCTCACGTGAGGTCCAACTGTAAGCAAAAGTGACTTAAAAATGATTTACATTTATTGTAAAGGACCAACATTAATGGCTGACACACTTTGCAGCATTACGAACGCTCCACTCATCTCTGAGCTGTTTTTCCACTTAATACCTTAATGCTACACAAACACAGCTCCATCAAAATTATATATTGACTGGTGCAGCACTTTTGGGATAAGCTGATCTGGGTCTTATCACCAAACCCAGTGGTTGACTCCACTAATGCTCTCGTGGCTGAAAAGGAGCACATCCCTGCATCCGATTACTTAACCGTTCCCCATGTGTGTAATAAGGGATCAGACCGTCCACATACTTTTGGCCACATCGTGTATCTACCACCTAATCTAACTGTGCTGAAGGCTGGAGTGGATTGCATTACCACGACGTGTGTTTCTAATAATTTGTTCTTCCCCAATTATGTTAATAAGAGAGGCAAACTAATTATAAAAAAATTAGAAACATCTTTCCATGTGACGCACTCCAAAACAAGACCGCCACGGAGCCCAGGAAACCTCGAGGTCTGCAGGGATAACAGGTGTTTCTAGTTTTCCTTTGATTCACTTTTGTTCTCCTCAAATCAGACGTTTTACAAAATCTCCCCGTTTTTGACTTAATGACTTTATAATCTGTGCAAAACAAACACGTGCGCGTCTTAATTAATTACTGAGCAACATCAAAGTCCGAACATATACTCATCAGTCAGTGTACAAGGTGCATTGTCATCATGTACCACAAGAGGGCGACTCAGCTGAGCTCAGATCAGCAGCAGCTTCACGAGGAAGGATGAGGTAGAAGTCACTTCACTGAGGGACTTGCGCTGTGAAAAGGCTTCATTTTAACGGATCTCAGGTTCCACGTTACCGAATCAAACCGCGACACAATTTAGCACCGAATGTATTTACAGTGGCCTCTATTAAACATGGCAATGTCCTGGGACTTAACTGTAAATCAGGGTTTATAGAAATATATTTCATTTCAAACATGACATTTATTTTTTTTTACATTTTATTATGATGATTTAGTACTATTCTTCTGTTTTCCATGACCGGCTGCAGTATTGAGCACTTCTGTTGAAGAGATGGATATAATAGTCTGACGCACTTTTTTTGGGGGAAATCTGCTGAACGTGTTGAGGTTTGAATCCATTAAGCGCTGCCTGCCTGCATCACAGATATTCTTTATTCATTTATTTATTTATTTATTTTTGTCAAGATGATACTAAATTCGGTGAGGCCACTCCAAAACCACTAATGCACGTCTAAGCATTAACTGTGTTTGATGCTCATCGAGGTACTTAGCCTTCACACCGAAGAGAAGACAAGTGTTGATGGATATCGATCCAAGACAATGTGACGATAAAGCAGCGGTAGTCACCAAAAAAGACTTAATCTGCGTCCAACCTTTCCCGATCTCCATCTTGTACAATCCTCCTGACTCTGCTACTTCCACCTTCTCCTCGCCGATCATCAGCTCAGGGGACAGAGAGGCTGAAGCAGCAGCAGCAGCAGCCACAGGGTGATTTGGTTACACTGTTGTAGATCCAAATGCTCTCCAATATTGATCAATTTTCCCACTTCCTACATCCTCCTTTGAGATCACCCCTGCAGCACCTCCGACTAACCCCCATTCTGATGACTCTGACAGCACGCTCCTCCATCAATACTTCTTTGATATTGTATTCACGAGCCAGTATTTATCGTGCATAATCACCACAGTCTGAGTAAAGCCGCTGTATCACTGCAGGTGAGCAGGTAGTCAATGATGAGCTCCTACTCATCTGTCAAATAAAGGCTAATAATTAACAATCACGGTCTCCATCCATGTTGTTGATATTGTTTGATCCTGACAACAGTGTAACAGAGATGTACTACAACTCCAGGCTGGAATGTATCCTCCCAACAGCCAGGAATAGAAAAATGTCCTCTGAATGCGAGCTCTATTAGTAGTGTTATGGATATATGGATATGTGCTGACAGGGGCCCTTGGTAGGATACATGTATTTTTCTCTGTACGTATCACATTTCCAGCCGTATGATTGGTCAGCGAAAGGAAATGTCACGTCAGTGTGCAAGGTCACTAATAATACACAATCTTGATGGAGATGACTCGCCGTTCGGCGGAAGTCGTCACGGTGAGCAACACGCGGAATTCACTGGAAGGCGGTTTTATTCGTTGCGTGGAAACATCTTTCCAGGCCTTTCTCGCAGCGGACATTTTGACTCGTCATAGTTGGGGAAAGCACAGGTGTGACTGATAACGACGGCTCTGTTCTAGTCAGGTGACGGTGAGCAAGCGCGCACACTACAGGAACCTGAAATCAAAGCGGCTCAATGGAGTTCAGCCATCATTGGCTTTGTTTTTTATATACAACTGTGCTTTTGCTACTGTAGACTGTACTGGTCAGAATGTCTTCAGAGAAAAGGGCTGCCAACTTTTTACATTTAAAGTACATTTCACAATCAGTAGTTACATGTTTTGGCTGCTGAAAATATCGAATAAATCAGTTTAAAGTTAAAAGCAAAATGTATGCAACAACATCAAACCAGTCAAGTCTTAGCCTCAAGTCTGGTCTAAAAGTAGGTCTTTAAGGCCCTGTCCACACGTGTACAGATCTTTTTGAAAAGTGATATTTTCTTTACGTTTTGGCCTTTTGTCCACACGTATACAGAGTTTTAGGCATGACATCATGAATTGAACCTCTGTTGTCGCTTTGTATAATCAGCAGGTGCCAGAAACAATAACAACTATTGCAGTTTCTTATCTTTATTTTTTAGGTCTGCTTAACATCTTAACTTAGTATTCTGTCAGATTTGTGACCAGGCAAATATTTCAACGCGTCCTCATACAAAGGTTTGTTTGATATCTTACAAAAGTGAGTCCTCATTTTTTTGTGAGTTTTCCTGCAAAAGGCATGTGTCAATTTCTGCTTGTTGTATACAGTCTTTTCAAAATAAACTTCCGTCTTCACAGGAAACTACTTAGTTCGGTTTAGGCGACGCAACTACTTGATTAGCTTTAATAATAGATCGTCGTTTAGGTTAGAATAACGACGAAAGTGCCGTAGTAGTGTGACAAATAAATCCACGTTGACTTCTCGTTTCACGTAGAACCGCGTTCAGTCAGTGTTTGTTTAGGCACAAAAACGACTTGGTTAGGTTGAGGGAAAGATCATGATTTGCTTTTAAGCAGTTCAATTTAGGAAAACATAGGATAGGAGACCTGTAAACACTTGTCATTTTATGGCATTTGCTAAATTGAAGACTAATCTCTAACTCTTTGCGACGGACAATAAATACAGTTATTCTGATTGTGGTAAAGATTCTTAAGAACATTGTTTGGGTTTTGCACTGCAGCACATTTGTTTTGAAAGGAAATAAAGACTGAGTTTAAAGGAATTACTTTCAGCTGTACGGGCCTTTGAAAGTATTCACATCCATGTTGAATGAACAGTGTAGAAATTGTAGGGCCTTATATACATACTCTATGTTTGGACAACAACTCATACACTGTCTACCAACTTAGGTGCAAACAGCCTCAAATTAGAGTTGAAAGTCTTGTATTAAATCACAGTCACTGTTTCACTTGTGTTCCAATATGTTCTGGGGTACGGTGCCAAAAACGACAGAAACTGTGCCACTTTCCAAAAACTGCCTGGAACGTACAGATTTATTGCCTGTTTTATTCGGCCCGGCTATCTCTGGTCTAGCCGAACTCAAACGTGAGAGAAGGGTAGAAGAAGATCTTTTTGTCCGTGCATCCTGACTGCAGGAGTGAAACAGCCAATGTCCAGGGTACCACCGCATTGTTGAACTCGTGGCTCGCGATCTAAAGGCAACCGGTGAAGTACTGAAACTGGAGGAATGCATTTCTTCTCTTTAATGCAGCACTTGGTGGATGTAAAATGCAGATGTTGTACATGCTTAGACAGAGATAAGACTCCAGTGTGACCCTGGTGTGATGTTACAACAGCGCAGTGATTTCTTATCTTGGTGCTGTGTTGTGGTGACAGATTGGGGGCAGATATAAGAGTTGGATGGCCACTGTATGAAGTTCTGGCCCAGCATGTATTTAGGGAGCTGCACAGGGGGGAGGCGTATCGAGTCCAGAGGGTGGACGCCATATGTTTTTAACACTCTGCCAAGAAGGGGATAGGACAGCACCTGTGGCTGGTTACACATCTAAAAACACGAGTTATAGTTCCCACTCAAAACAAAGGAGGAGATGCATTCACCCTTCACAAATCATTTGCAAATCTAAAAACCACAAAAGGTACACGCTGAAGGCTGGAGTCGAGCCAGTGCTGCAGGGGGAACGTACACTTTTCTCCTGGCAGGCGGTCTTTACACTGTCATATTCATGGCTTAGGTTTTTTTTTTTCTCCTTGGTTAACTTTAACTCTGAAAGATTGCCCACGTCAAGAATGTTAAGCTCTGATATCAGAGGTTCAAAGAGAAGAATAAAAATGGATATTTAAGCAGATGATCCCATCAGACTCATTTAAACTGGCCTTGTTATAACAGCATTACAGGAACCAGAGAGCTTTTCTTACAGAAGGTTCCCCGTATATCATATTTATCTATGTAGAACAGATACAGTGAATGCCAATCAAACCTTTTCATTGCAACATTCCTGGTTCATTTTTTTACTCCCAGACTGGCTCAAGCTGTAATCAATGGCTTTGAATATTTGGCAAATTGGCGGTTTCTCCTTCCTGTGGCCGTCCTACAATCATCAACATTTCCTGCTGATGTATTTAGTCTGCCAGCACGTTTTCAGTCCGTGTTGCGTGTTTAAAGGCACATGAATGACCTTTCTTTTGAGCAGATAATCTTACCCTGAGCTGTGCTAAG